TCCTTGGGCAAGATCCTTCACGCTATGCCTACCTCATAAAATGATGAGAGACAATAAAATGAATGACATGTAGGCTATGCCTACCTCATACAATGATGAGAGACAATAAAATGAATGACATGCCGGCTCAGACGTCGCCCGGCCAAACAAGGTCTGCGTCAGGTGCTGGGGAACCAGAGCACTTTGATGAAAAATGGGCTACTGGAACAAAGCGGAGATGGGCGAGATGCAATAACATGGCTCTGTTGGAATGCTACTACTCAAGCAACCCTAGTCAGAGGGGTTACATGCACAGAATGTGAGCTGAATGGTTACTTCGAAACCCACAGTCACGGTTGACCACGAAACAACTAGTAGCTCAGTGTTCCAACATCCACCAACGGCAATTGCTATCACAATTTGAGATTGATGAGGTACAACGCAGGTTCCATGGTGAAGGGCCCCAGGCTGCCAGATCAGAGGAAGAGGTTTTACCAGAGCTTGGGAGGCAAGCCCCAATGAATGCAAATGATGAGATTGGGAGGCCAGGCCCAATGAATGAAATGCTGAGCGAGGCAGCAACTGACCTGAAAAATAAGATCATGGCGAGAATGAAGGATGGGCAACCTAGAAACCGATTACAATGGCTATGTGAAGTACCACCTGAGAGTCTCATGGAAACTGTGACTGCAGCACTGAGGGCGATCTCTACCGTGACGATCACGGAAACCAGTGAGCTGATCTACGCTACAGCATCAGTGATCCTAGAGATGCTTGGCTATAGGAGCAACCATGGGAGCCATGAGATGCGTTACCCACCATGGGAAAGACGGTTGGAGGCTGAGATCAAAGCGGCTCGGAAAGATGTGAGTCAATTGACGGAGGCCCAGAGAGGTGTGATGAAAAGGCCGATACCCGAGAGGTACATCCAGATGACCATACCTGAAGCACTCGAAACTGCCAAACAAAGGCTCCAAGCCTTGTCCAGTCGCCTAAAGAGGTACACGAAAGAGAATGAGGCCAGACATTATATTATTATAACAAGCAGGCTGTTCGCAACACAACCTGCGAAAGTGTACGCTCAGTGGCAGGGTCCTAACAGCAGAGCTGACCCACCAAGACTGGAAACTGAAAGGTACTGGAAAGGCATATGGGAGAAGGAGGTTGCACATAACAGCAGTGTTAACGGAGGCCCAGAGAGGTGTGATGAAAAGGCCGATACCTGAGAGGTACATCCAGATGACCATACCTGAAGCACTCGAAACTGCCAAACAAAGGCTCCAAGCCTTGTCCAGTTGCCTAAAGAGGTACATGAAAGAGAATGAGGCCAGACGAATAAACAGGCTGTTCGCAACACAACCTGCGAAAGTGTACGCTCAGTGGCAGGGTCCTAATATATATATATATATATAAAAACACACACTGAAGAGAAGCAGTTCACTTCAAATAAGCTCTTGACATCTCCGCTCTGTCTGCTCATCTTGCATAACTGTCTAAGTAAGGATCTGCCTTCAAAAACGCATGATGTCATTTTCATGGTCGACGGTAAGAAGACCTGGAGAAACAATAGGAGAAAGGTGACAGATGGTAACCAGTGAAGAGGAAAGCGTGAGTAAGCATGTGGGCAAAGGAGGGCCAATGCAAAGGTCAGAGGAGAAATACTGGAAATACTGATGTGATGATTTCATTTGTGAAGACTGTGTGACGTCTCCTACAAAAGCGCATGCCAGCTTTGACTTCAAAAATACGAGCGAGCTCATGTTTGCGTGTGTCTGTGAGTCAGATCCATCCATTCAACACCGCTTATCCTGAACGGGGTGGCGTGTTGTGAGTCAGATCAAGGCAGTCCATGTATTCGAGGCCTGCGTAATGCATGAAAACATATTAACATGTAAATAATATTTTGATAAGGCTTCACGCGATCACAATTTTTGGGGTCGATGAGTGATCAGAAGGTCTGGAAAAAAAATGATACTCGATCACCCATTTGATCAGACGATGAAGCAGTAGAACAATTCAAACAGCTTGGAGATTACGACAGTCAACCTGACGCTATTGGAAAAAATGCATTAGGAAAATGAATCGTTTACACGACAAAAAAAAATCTTTAAAAGAAACAAAAAACACTGATGAATATTAAATAATAACATGTAATGTTTACATGTTTCCAACATCTCATCGAATATTAATAAAAAAAATGCACCAACCTCGCCTGTCATTCGGGTGGGCAGGGCTTTTGCTAAAACTATTGCGACTGTATCTTGGTTCAACAGCTGTGAACATACACTTACTGACTGGCTAAGTGGCTGTCAACTGCTCCTTTCTGGCTGGTATTGGAAGCTGGCAATGTTGCACAAGTCCCGGTGCCCACAGACTGCAATGGTTATTTTGTCCTACGTTGTCCAATTTTTACCTGGCATGTAGGTAGCATATTCTACGGTTTAGCTGTACAATTTTGGCCTTATCTACACAATCTGAATTGACTTTACCTGTAATAGCTGAACTCACTTTCAGGATGACCGTAGTCGATCTCCTACATTTTGCAAATGTTGAGTACATCTTCTCAAAAATGCACCTACTGTATTTCTGCGTTGATTCAAACAACACACCTGCCAGCTGTGATTGGCTAAATAAGCGTCGCCGGCTAAATACTTGCTGAGAAAAGTCATTCCTTATTTGGGATTTTTCAAATTAAATTTAGACCAAATAGATCACTGCACCTAGTCAAAGATTTTATCGATGCAATCCGAAAATAACTTTGACAAGGGTTTATATTTTTGTGAATGATGCAATTGAGGCAGCTGGAAGAATGATGACGGTGTAGCTCAACTCCACCTGTCACTCTTGACGCTCCCTGAACTGACACAGAAAAGTCTATGTTAACCACACCCCCTGACCCACAGCCCTGGCTGAGACCAGCAGCATACCACTTCGGCAATAAACTGGTGGAATTTTATTCTGAAACATCATCGGTAGAAATCAATTCCAACACACTGTCAAATCCATATTGTGCAAGCTTTAATAGGTCAAACTTAAAATACATCTCTCAAAAACCTAATGTACTAGAAAAAAAGTAAAGGCATGTTTTAAATTAGAATTAAAAATACATATAGGGACACACAAAGCCATACCTGATTAAAATTTTTTATCTTGCTTCTTGGATCTCCGATTCTGGTTTGTTTATATGGGCACTTGAAATAGCAAAATTTATGAGGTAGAGGTGATCAGTTGGAACCAAAGAGGTCTGCTTGAACTGTGCGGCTGAGCATGAAAGCAGCAGGTTAAAAACACTGCCAAGTTAACACATTCCTCTTTTATAGTGCAGCAAAAGAAACTGACACTCCTGCCTAACTTGTTGACTTGAATTGAGACGTATTGTCTGTTGGCTGCCAACCAGTTCAGGGTAGGTGGGCTACTGCCCAAAATACTGCTGCAAAGGCTCCAACACGCCCACAACCCTCGTGAGGATAAGCAGTTCAGATAATAGATGGATATTTGTGTGTGTGTGTGTGTGTGTGTGTGTGTGTGTGTACAGCCGTGTGTGTGTGTGTGTGTGTGTGTGTGTGTCTACGCACATGCACACACACACACACACACACACACACACACACACACACACACACACACACACACAGTCAAATTTAATGCAGACTGCAGTGCTGCATGTACACAGCACCATAAACAGTCACGGCATTGTTAAATTAATATCTGAGGGTATCAAAACTGAGTAGTGTTGTCTTTGTGACTGCATTATTTTGTATGTATTTCTTGCATGAGATCCCATTACATGTGCGCAAGTTTTGTTCTCATCTTGTGATGTATCAGCTGTCAATGATTTTGTCATATGTTAGCGCATGTGCATATGTGGTTGGATCGTTAATGGGCCATCAGTCTCAATCGCTCACACACATGAGCAGCAGGTGAACTTAGCAACCCGGTGTTTGCCTAGCAACCCCATGTCCCGGCGAACCTTGTTACCATAGCAGCCAACGAGGATGTGGCACTACCTGGAGGAAGTGGTCACGGCAGATATGAGCCACAGGGCAGCTGGTGTGTGTGTGTGTGTGTGTGTGTGTGTGTGTGTGTGTGTGTGTGTGTGTGTGTGTGTGTGTGCACTTGCATGCACGGGCACACACTCATTTGAATGCGATGTCCCGGATCCATGAAGGAGCCGTATGCTCTTTTGCAACAAAACACATCACAGCCTGTAAACACAAAACAATCAACGGCTTTGTTTTAAAGCTGCCGTTGTTGTAATTTGTTTATGCCCCCCCACCCCCCCAGTGCACTCCTGCTGTCATATTCTCAGAATCACCCACCCCCACGACACATACACACCTTCCATCTGTGTTTCTGTCACAGTTGAACTCAACTTAAGTTAACAGGCACCATCTTATTAATTTTGTGTGATTTGATGTTTCAAAAAACATTGCTACTCTGAATTTCACATGTGAAAGTGAAAGCCTTGTGTCTGGTTTGAGTGACGAGACAGGATAGAGGTTGAGGTCAGGATGGAGGAGGGCGAAACAGTTTGCCTGAGACAGAGAGATGCCAGTATTTATCCATGTTCTCACCACCACATACAGCCCCCGCCCCCCCTTCCGCCCACTACCCACTGCCCAATGCAGGCCGATTAAGGCCAGAAACTCTAATTGTGCTCCAAAGATGTGACAGACTGGAGCACCCATCTGCGGCATGCATGTGTTCGAGCAAATGCTCAGAGTGTAAAATAAATAAACCAAATACACGCATACACACACACACACACACACACACACACACACACACACACACACACACACAGGCTACAAAATGCTCAATGCTCGATGGATAATTTAGCATCATGTACCTGCACACCTGACCTCCTCTGCAGCTAAGCCTGCAGCATTTTTACCTCCAATAGTTTTTGCTGTGGATAGATGCTCCCACAAGTTCCAGAGAGGCACGCTCACGTGAACAAAATACGTGTGATTTAAACACGGAATTAGGCGTCAGAGAAAGAGGAAGGCATGAGTGCTCACCTTGACGTCAGAGAAGAAGATTTTTAGCATGTTAGAGGACGGATAGCGAGTGTAGAAGAACATGAGCTTGGCCTTCTTCAGGTGATTGGGAGACAAACCCTCTTGGATCTGGAGAAAAGTGTTAAGGTGCAACGAGCAATGGTTCACGAAGCCCAGGAAATGGCATTAACATATCAGTTTGAAAATTTGTTGACATGGATTGATTATTTTATAAGTGCTCTTGTTTTTTTTCCCAGAGTTTTGTATATGTTATATAATTCGTACTGATTATTTGTGACCAAATAATATTTTTTTCAAAACTACTGAATTGAATTACTTCACAGGGATCTAGCAGTAAAAAGTGTTCTATCACAATATCATGAAATAATTTGCAAATAAAATAACATTCATTTAAATAAAAATTGTTTTATGATAATAATAATAAAAACAAAATTGACACGTAGCTCATACAATTTGATTCAAATAAGAAACAATTTTTTCTCGATGGCAAAACATCAAATGATTGTACTGTATAGTGCCCTTGCATGATGGGGGAATAAAAAAGTCAGAGTTGTTCCAAGTAACCTTCATCTTATAATCCCACAGTTGCTCCTATACTCTATATAATTTCCTCTGCTATCACTCTTTCGAAACCATGAAAAGAAAAATTGTTGAGACCTTGGTTACACGGTAATGGTCCGTGTGTGTATGTTTGTGTCCGTGCAATACATGCATGTGTGCAACGACAGCTGTGCCCCACCACTCTGCCATTTTGCCACTACATTAACAGCCCTATAATCTATCAGTGAAGATGAGGCAATCAATGTAACCCCCCACAAGGTCAATTAGCGCGCGTGCGCACACACACACACACACACACACACACACACACACACACACACACACACACACACACACACACACACACACACAAACCCCAAAGGGCCCGATATGGCAGCAAAAAAGAAAGGTAATGAAAGAAGTGTAAGCAGACATTGGTCATTTTAGTCCTGCATTTCACTTGACTTCTACAGGTTCAGTTTGGTCACCTTTTTGCACTAATCACAAATAAGCTTGAACACTTTGTGAAACTGGAGGTGAATCCTGCTCAGTCATCCATCTTTAATTGAACCCTGCATACGCCAGTAAACATCAAGCGACACCATTAGCTGTTTAACATTCATACCAACCTGTCACTGTGGACTGCGGAGTATAGTGGATAATACATCTGTGGCTGTTTTAATGTCACAGCTCACAAACTTGACTAACAATGTGATGAAGTGTTGTGTTGAAACCGGCTTGTGTGCGTGCGTGCGTGTGTGTGTGTATTAAGGTAACTGAGAGCCAGTGAATAAACAAAGCAACTGGTGATGCTCCTTCCTGCTCCTCATTTTCTCTTTATCACGTGTGTTGATCCTGATGTATGTGTTTTGTGAAGGACTCACTACATCAGCTGTAACCTGACCTTGCAGCCAGGTGTGTGTGTGTGTGTGTGTGTGTGTGTGTGTGTGTGTGTGTGTGTGTGTGTGTGTGTGTGTGTGTGTGTGTGTGTGTGTGTTCGGGGGTGCAAGTTTACAAGGAAAGAGGTGGGGGGGACCAAATTCATAAATGAATGGAGTACATCTGCTCAGCTCTGCACAAAGGATTACCGATACACAGACCCGAGTGTTTGAAATGATCACAAATTATCACTTGGCCTTGGTCAAGGTTTATTCTTCGGCAGAAAGATACAATTCATAATTAACCAAAATTGACAATGTTTTTTTTTTTAAGTCTAAAAATAAATTATTTGCTGTCGATCTTTTATCATTTAAAAAAAGGAAAATGCTTGCCATCTTCGAGTCGGTGACATTTTCTGAAAAGCGTCAGAGCTTATTTTATTTGAAGTGTTTGTTTTTGCTTTAGAAAGCTGAGTTCATGGCCAACCACAATCTAATATGAGGCTAATTTCAGTGGTTGTTTTTCCTTGACTAATATTCTTTTTTTTTTCCATGTCTACATTAGCTTTAAAGCAACACTGAGATCAAATCATTGTGACTGCAAGGAAATCCTGTTTGTAAGGTTCAAAGTCTTATTTTGCGCCTCACTTTGTTCTTCAAACCGTGCGTGCTTGCTGCGTGTGTGCGAATGTGGCTATGAGGAGCCCTCTCCATTTGAAAGGTTAGGAATGAAAAGATAAACAGCTACCTGCAAACACCTGTCCACAACCATGCTCTCGGAAAGGGTGAACATGCATGTGTATGTGTAGGCAAGAGAAAGGAGCGAATGCACGCACAGCTGCCGAGCAACCGAGTGCAAAGGCCAACGAATCAAAGCGCCGGTGGGAGAGGCTTAAGGAGGAAGACGACGTTCTAAATGCGGACACCTTTTGAAAACTGGCATCAATGAGGCAGAGCGTCTTTTCCGCTCTTTGAAACGTGATTAGCTTTGAGCTGTTGTGTGCAACGTGTTGACACAAAGTTGCCCCCCACCCACTTGCTTTGAGCGTTCATGTACAAAGTCTGCGTGATGAAAGTGAGCAAACGGGCATGAGCTTCACGGACTTAAAAGAAGTTGAGACAGCAGCGTGCGACCTGTTTAATCTTCCCGGCTCTTGCAAGACCTGGCGCACCTCGTTTCATCTTGCCTTCTCGGCACGGAAACAAGAGGGAACCAATTAGCCAGTACTAATTGATATTAAAGACTTTGCGCCAGTGGTGTCGGCAGCTGCTACCCCAAGACACCACACACAAACACACGTTCACACTCGCCATGTCAAACACACACACACACACACACACATTCGCACTGGCTCGCAGTGAGAAGGATACAGTGCTGCTTGAGTATGGTGAGATGTCGGCCATATCTGCCAGGTCGCCGCATTCTGACTTGATGAGAGACAGACCAAAATTGACAATGTTTTTTTTTTTTAAGTCTAAAAATAAATTATTTGCTGTCGATCTTTTATCATTTAAAAAAAGGAAAATGCTTGCCATCTTCGAGTCGGTGACATTTTCTGAAAAGCGTCAGAGCTTATTTTATTTGAAGTGTTTGTTTTTGCTTTAGAAAGCTGAGTTCATGGCCAACCACAATCTAATATGAGGCTAATTTCAGTGGTTGTTTTTCCTTGACTAATATTCTTTTTTTTTTCCATGTCTACATTAGCTTTAAAGCAACACTGAGATCAAATCATTGTGACTGCAAGGAAATCCTGTTTGTAAGGTTCAAAGTCTTATTTTGCGCCTCACTTTGTTCTTCAAACCGTGCGTGCTTGCTGCGTGTGTGCGAATGTGGCTATGAGGAGCCCTCTCCATTTGAAAGGTTAGGAATGAAAAGATAAACAGCTACCTGCAAACACCTGTCCACAACCATGCTCTCGGAAAGGGTGAACATGCATGTGTATGTGTAGGCAAGAGAAAGGAGCGAATGCACGCACAGCTGCCGAGCAACCGAGTGCAAAGGCCAACGAATCAAAGCGCCGGTGGGAGAGGCTTAAGGAGGAAGACGACGTTCTAAATGCGGACACCTTTTGAAAACTGGCATCAATGAGGCAGAGCGTCTTTTCCGCTCTTTGAAACGTGATTAGCTTTGAGCTGTTGTGTGCAACGTGTTGACACAAAGTTGCCCCCCACCCACTTGCTTTGAGCGTTCATGTACAAAGTCTGCGTGATGAAAGCGAGCAAACGGGCATGAGCTTCACGGACTTAAAAGAAGTTGAGACAGCAGCGTGCGACCTGTTTAATCTTCCCGGCTCTTGCAAGACCTGGCGCACCTCGTTTCATCTTGCCTTCTCGGCACGGAAACAAGAGGGAACCAATTAGCCAGTACTAATTGATATTAAAGACTTTGCGCCAGTGGTGTCGGCAGCTGCTACCCCAAGGCACCACACACAAACACACGTTCACACTCGCCATGTCAAACACACACACACACACACACACACACACATTCGCACTGGCTCGCAGTGAGAAGGATACAGTGCTGCTTGAGTATGGTGAGATGTCGGCCATATCTGCCAGGTCGCCGCATTCTGACTTGATGAGAGACAGAGACAAACCTTCGGGCCCGTGTTGACCCGGGGGGCTCTGCCTGTTGGGGTGGTGACCAAGGTGCCCTCCTCCGAGCGTGGCCATTTTGGTTCTCAGGCTTACAGTTTCACGGGTCATGTCCATGCAATCTGGGGAGGAGTGGATGTGGTTGTGGTCCTTTGGCCCCGGGGTATAGCCTGTGCCTCCGCCGTGCGATCCCAGAGGGCTGTGAAAGGGGTAGCCCATGAGTGGGAGGGGGAATGGGTGGCGGAAAGATGGAGGGCTGAACCCAAGAGTGGCTGTGAGAGGCGAGGGGTGGAGGGAGGGGTGGTGAGGAGGCTGTGGTGGAGGAGGAGGAAGAGATGGGGGACCGTTCTCTTCACCGCTGACACTGCTCCCACCGCTCTTGCGCACCACCAGCGGCAGCGCCTCCGTTTGATCGTTGGGCGTCGGCACCCCGCTGAGCCTGCCGTTCAGACCATTGAACGAGTCCAGTGGGCTCGGCACTATTATGTCGCCGAAGCAGTGGAGTCTTTGATTGGAGGTGTGGTAGTTGGAGGTGGGGCTGCCTTCACCGTGAAGACTGAGGGCAAAGGCACCACCGCCGAAACGAGGGTCCGGGGTGAGAGAAGGGAGCGGGCCAAAGGGCAGGGGACCCGAAGAGGATGAGTTGGAAGATGAGGAAGGGGCAGCCGGCGTGCTGTGGCAACCGTGATGGTGGCTGACGGCCTGCTTGGGTGATGAGAAGCCTTTGACAACCGTGTCGACAACCTGCGAGACGGCAGAGTTGAGCTCCTGCTTCAGTGTTTCCGCTAACTGCCTCCCCCCTTGCCGCTTCATCATCCTCTCTCCGTTCCTCTCGTCACCCTCCGCCACAGCCCTCCCCACCACATCGTCCTCCATCTCTCGATCCATCAAGGCCTGTTGTCGCAGTAGGGCTCGGGCCCGGTCCAGGAACAGGCCCGGGTCCAGCTCTGACAGGTCGTCATGGCGCCGCCGCCCTCTGTCCCTGTGCCTCTCCTCTAGGCCATCGGAGCGGATACTGTCCTCAGACAGGTTACCATCCTCATCCCTCTCCCCGCCTCGTTCCACCTCGGCACCCTCGCGGTTTTCCTCCTCCTCCTCCTCTGTCTCGGAGTCGTAGATCTGGTAGAATTTCTCCTGAAGTTGGCGCAGTTGCTTCTGAACAAGAGAGAGAAGAGAGTGTTGAGATTAGTGTCTTGTTCGCCTAAGGGGAGAGTGTGGCTCTTGACCTGCTCATTAATGCTTTCAAAATAATATTTTGTTTTGGATTTAGGCTGCATTAATAACATTGTCTGGGCGTGCTTTTTGGTCAAAGGTGGTGGTGTGAAGTAACAAGTTTGTAAAAAATACTTGAGTGATTTTTTTTTTTTCTTCAAGTAGAGTTTATGGAAAAGAATATATAGGGACAGCAGTGACATGATTGGGAGAAGATATTTCTCATTTCTGACCTTTTTTAAAAATGTATCAAAAGAGGTTCTGTATATACTTGACAAACATTAATTGTCACTTTTGTGCTTGCATATTCCAGATTCGTACTGAGTCAGTACTCTATTACTTTGTGCAGAAGCTGAATCAGAACTTTTACTTTCACTAGAGTCTTTTCACACAAGTATTTGTTCTAAATAAAGAGCGTCAGTACTTCTGCCACCGGTGTTGGTGACCCACCTGCATGTCTTCCAGCTGCAGTTTGAGCTGTCGCCTCTCCTCCTGCCGCTGCTCCTGCCTGGAACACACCAGCTGTGCAAAGCTATGTTGCTGTTGAGGCAGGCGCTGTTTCCTCTTGTTTTCCCGGTACGCCTCGCCAGCGATGACCCCCGCTGCCCTCGAAGCGGGAGAGCTGAGGAGGGAAGAGGCGCAGTCGCTTCGTCTGTGGCCGTGACTACTGCTGTCCTCTCTGTGCTCGTTAGCGTTGTCGCGGTTGCTTTCCTGGCTGTGGTCGCCGGTGCTGGGTCGGACCAGTGGTGAGTGACTCATGCCGCGAATGATGTTTTCTACCCGAGCCCGCTTGGCCCGAAGGTGCTCGTCCGACAGCCTGTCTAAGTCAAACGTGGAGAGGGACAGTGGCTGAGCGTGGGAGCTGAGGTTGGAAGGAGGTAGCGGTCGTCCGAATGACGGCGGGGCCGAAGGGAGAGGTCCCGGTGAAAGGCAGTTGGACGGGCTGTCCCGGTCCTGAGAGGAGGAATTGCTGCAGGCATCCTCAGCCTGGATCTCGGAGCCACCACTGGATAGAGCTCCACTGCCCTGAAAAAGACAACAATCATATACAATTAGCGATTGACTGATATTTTCATGGGACAGGAAAGAAGAAATTACGCTTTGCTCCTACAGATGATATAACACTGCAATACATATTGCCCCCTCCAAATACCTCAACATGCAGCCAAAATGTCTCAACCATTGGCAATAAAAGTGAGTGCACCCCCAAGGGAAAATTTACCAATTGTACCCACGTAGCCATTTTCACTCCCTGGTGTCATGTGACTCATTAGTGTTAGATCTTATTGTATATTGATCAGTTTGTATACTGTAAAAAAAGTAGAGGTGGGTCAAAAAGGGACAGACCCAACTTTCTGGGCTTATTTATTTGAGTCACATGACACAGGGTTGCCCACCTTTTTGGGTTATTTATATAATCCAAAATGTTGGGTCAAATGTCTAACTTGTAGAAGTGGTTTGTTGTTTATTCATTTGACCCAACTTTTGGGGTTATTTATTCCCCCCCACAATTTGGGTTATTTGTAACCCAACTGTTTTTACAGTCATTTCACTTGAAAATGAACAAGTACCTGAAAGCCGGAGTCACTCCCTCCATTCTTCCCCATATTGTTCTTCAGAAGCTGTGAGATGATGGTTGCCCCGGTGAAAGGCATCATGGCATCCTCGTATGAGTTGGCCCTCTTCAATAACTTCCTCAGAACATTGGATTTCTCCCCATCGCCGTGGCTACCACCGTGCCCTCGACCAATGAGCGAGCAATCTCCATCCTGATCAGGGCTATGGGATTGGTTCATGTTGTCGAGGAGGATCCCGGTGACACTACCCACGGTCCGTTTCACACCGATGTCCACTCGTCGGCGCTTGGTCTGTCTGGTTAGGAGTGCGGCGCTGTCATGATCAGGCATCACGCAGAGCAGCTACACTGAGCATTACCAAGGGGCCTCGCAAAGGCACTGAAACTGTGTGGATGGACACAAACACAGATTACAACTATCCTTTCATTTTCTATACTACGTTAGCCGATTTGGGCTGAAATGTAGGGGTATACACTCTGGACTGGTTATCTACCTTTTGCAGGACACATTAAAAAAAAAAAAAAACCCCAACCATTGACACTCACACTTACACTTTTACACAATTTAGAATCGTAAATGATCAAAGAATGCATGTTATTTGAAAGTGAGAGGAAGCCACGATCATAACTTAAGAATTCTGAGGCAGACTGGTGCCTCAGTCGACATCTATTGATTATCGTTTGACTTTTTTAGAATTCATGAAATGTTAAAGAAAAAAAACTAGCTATTTTTAAATTAAATGTCTTTCATCTTTGGACATAGCGGAATACTCAACGCTTGCACAATTTAAAAGCAGTCTTTCGTTTTGAACATGCATGCTTCACATCATAAAATCACACACACACACACACACACACACACACACACACAAATAATTTGGGTGTTAATTTGAGATGAATGAGGTAACATTTTAAAAGAGCCAGGAAGATCTTAAATTGAGATCTCATCTTTAATTGCCAACGCTCTTTTCCAGAAGTGGTCAACTTTCAAATAACTTTTTCAATTAACCGAGTGCACGTTATTGTAAGGTGTGCGCGTGTGCGTGTGTGTGTGTTTGTGTGTGTGTGCGCTCGCGCGCCTCTCGCAAACATGCAAACCCACTCTCCGTTTGAAATCACTGGCTCACTCCCCCACACTCAACACTTTCTTTCGTTCACACACAGTGTGTGCGCTCGCGCGCCTCTCGCAAACATGCAAACCCACTCTCGGTGTGAAATCACTGGCTCACTCAACCCACACTCAACACTTTCTTTCGTTCACACACAAGATAGACAGATAGATGTCTTTGTATGGGTGAGGTCCCGTAGTTGCTCTCTTCATGTAGACAGCACACACATAAAAAAATGTGCAGCCCGTCCACCTATGGCTTCTTTGCATGGCTTTGAAAGCATGCTGTATATGTGACACTGCAAAGTGTCGGCGTGTGTGAGCTCGCTGACTCACCAGGAGTAATTTGCAAGTGCGTGGCAGGACACGTTTCAGAAATTGACACAAAAAAAAATAATCAAAAAGGGGAAGGTGACTTCGAGATAAGTTTGAGTAAAATTGAGTCATCGTTCTTGTTAATTTAGGTCGTGCGGGAACTTTACCCTTAACTGCACAAACCCCTTTTATGGCGCAAAATTATATTTTAAAGAATTTTCAAAAAGGAATACAACCCACAAGAGATATCGGCGGGAATATCATTTCAAGTGTCTTCAACAAACTTAGTATTTGATTCCATGCATGGGAGTTCCACTTCGCCTGAGTAGGACCCGCGCACGCGTGACTTGCCACCAGAAATAGTTTGGAAGTATTTTCCAAATGTAAACGTAACCCGGTGAAGTTGGTCACACAAACGTAAACCCCTAAAGTTCGAAACACACAACCAGACACGGTACAAATACAAACACACATTGACGAGCGGAGCGGGGTCGGAGCCTTCCAGAGTCAGAAATTCAGGTTGATTGCAGCGCAAGTTGCTACTCACTTGGTTGTTCTCGGAGTGGGCTCGGGCCCGAAAACACGCCGTGGACGAGTAAGTTGGAGCCGGAGATCGACTGCGCCGACGCTGTGACAATGTGACAAGAGTTTGCGAGCTCTTCGGGACGGACGCGGGAGGTGTGTGAGGCGTGTGCGCCCACGGTGGATCACGGAAGACGCTCGTGAGAGGGACAGCTTGAGAGAGAGAGAGAGAGAGAGAGAGAGAGAGAGAGAGAGAGAGAGAGAGAGAGAGAGAGAGTGAGCTTGCCTCCTCCGTAGGATGACCGGTGTCGGGGCACCGTACGCGCACCGGCCCGTCCGCCACTTTCCACACTCAAGTCGTCTTACTGACAGACTGCAAGACTCCCAAGCAAGAACCTCACTGAGACGAGCGAGGAAGGGATGCCAAGACTCCGCGTCACGCGAGGTAACACCCCCACCTGACCAATAAGGAAGAAGAACCCGGACCACCGGCTTTTATTTAAGAGGAGCCCGCCTTCGCACAGGCGGAGTGGACGACGATCACGAGGGTAAAACAGAAAGACTGCCTGCTACACTCGCGGAGACCCGACTGCGAAAATTACTCTTGTGAAAACTTAGTAGATGTTTTAAGTGATAGATATTCTTGCAATAAGTACAGTATAATTTTTTACACAAAAAAGGTCCTATCTGTATGTATGCGGCTCACTTAGTTCTAATAAACGCAAAATTTACCTTAAATTGGGTCACCTTCCTCTCTGATGTTGCAGTGATGGCGAAGCGTCTGTTAAGAGACGCACGTAACACCCGTCCATAAAAAGTCGCGTGGTATATGGCTGACATGAGTACGAAAAAAGCTGCAACAATTTTGCAATGGAATGTATTGTACCCGTAATACATTTACAAATGTTGAGAGCGTCTTATTTTTCTCGTGGCTCTGCTGAGTTGTGAAAGAAGCTTCGCTCGCAAAAAAAAAAAAAAAAAAAGTAGCCAACGGACGCAATTCGCATGATACAAAATTAGATAAAATGAGGGTCACCTTCGCTGCAAAAAACAATTTTTTTGGGGCGGGAATGGGGGGGCGCCGAAGGTGAAACTACATTTAACTCTTGAAAATGTGCGTTTAAAAACTGCTCGCCTGGTCCTATTTTGTTTTTTGTTTTTTGTTTTTTTATGTATCAAAACAAAATCTGGCCATGTGTTCGCTTTCCAGTGTTCGCAAAGGAATGCCCACGTTACACCCCCCCCCCACCCTCAAATGACTGTCCTGGGACCCGTATCTGAGCATATTCGGCACATATTTAAAATCAATACTGTATCATCATCAGCTTGTCTCGTTCCAACACATTTCAAATTTTCTTGAGAAAGTTGTTTTAGTATTAAAACGCAAAAAAGTGCTTTTCACCCGCGATCACTTCGTGCCACGAGCGCCAAGCGGGCCCCGTCCTCCTAATGATCTCTCCACAATTATTCGGCACCGACTCGGCGTGTCGCGCGCGCACACACGCGCGATGCTCGCTTTTCCACCCCACGATTGTGCTGCAAACGACGTGAAACATTTACACGAATTAAGACAACGCCGGTGCGATGTGGGTCTTTTGGTAACTTCGACGTGGCTCATTTTTTATTTAAGCAGCGTGCCGGTTTATGCGTGCTTCTAATATAATGGTCATTACAGGGAGGCCAAAATAAAAGTGTGCGTGTGTGTGTGTGTGTGTGTGTGTGTGTGTGTGTGTGTGTGTGTGTGTGTGTGTGTGTGTGTGTGTGTGGGTGGGTGTGTGTGTGTGTGTTTGCGTGTGCGTGCGGTCTGTTTTGCAAGCCCTCTTATCTGCACAAAAGGAGAGACACTATTGAATTTGCAGGTGGTCCAGTGGTTAGCATGTCGACCTCACAGTGCAGAGGTACCGGGTTCAATTCCAGCACTGGCCTCCCTCTGTGGAGTTTGCATATTCTCCCTGGGCCTGCGTGGGTTTTCTCCGGGTACTCCGGTTTCCTCCCACATTCCAAAAGCATGCATGGCAGGCTGATTGAACACTCTCAATTGTCCATCGGTGTGAGTGTGAGCGCGGATGGTTGTTCGTCTCTGTCACGGTTCGGACGAGCCGAATAATGTTTTGGATCCCAAAAATAGTAGACTCCAGACAAAGACTCCATAGCAAAAATGTTTATTTTACAAAAAACGCACCCACAAAGTCCAAACATAAAGCGCTGGTCAAAACAAGGACCAGTAAACACAAAAACTAAACGATAAATGTTAAGATATGATTCCTCTCTGTTAGCTGGGTTTGAAAGAAACAATGTAGAATGCTGTTGAAGGTATGTCCTGCTTACTGTGATTACAATCACCTTTGGTACCCCCTCACCCCCACTACTTTTATGACCCCTCCAGAGGACATGTCAACATCAAAAGAGGAACTGTTATCTCAAGTATCTGTGTTGCAGCTATTGAGGGACTGCGCTTTGCTATGAGTTCTATTGATCTCAGTCTCTTTCCTGAACATCTGTTTGCACACTTAAAACAACGTATGTAGTGTTAAAGTTTATCTTCTTCCTCCTTGGTTGATGAACGGCCCCCCAAGTGTCTCTTCTGTTGTCCCCCCGCACCTTGGGTCGGTCCCTGATCGCTGTTAAGCCCCCCTGGGAAGACCTCTTATCTCAGGATGTATGCACAGCGGGGGTTCTGGAACTTGCCATCACACCAAATGGTGGGTAGTGGTGGTTTGGTCTCACCGCACCACTCACAACTTCTTCCAGCCACACCGGGTCAGATGTCATGTTACTTTCTTTGTTTCCGGGATTTGCATGAGAGGCGTACCTAACCGCCTCTCATTATCATATTGTCTCTATATAATCCCATGAATGTGTTTCATCTACGCTTCCTGATTCAAATCTGGAGCCCGAATCGATTCGTAAACTGCAGAAAATAAATTAAAACCCTTCGAAGGAACTGTACATCGCCTCCAGCCTTTATTTGGATTACCAACATTCTCCTCGTCCGAAATTCAACGAACACGCGGAAAGAGGAGGCCGCTCTTCCCCCAACATAACCTAAAGCGCATGCACAAAAGGCAAGGAGGAAATAAACCCGAGACTACAAACAAAATGCAAAGTACCCAATTCATGTAAGCAAAGAACAATTAACGAAAACAAAATCCATACTTACAAAACCATAGTACTGAGTAGTGATGAGTTGAGCTGAATTGAGTTGAGTCAGTTAAAGAGCCTTACAGTTGCTTTATTCATTTGATCTTATAATTGCGAGATCCTCCATAATTGAAGTCCAACGCTGCCTGTCAGAAGCAAACACACAAAGAAAACAAGACCCTTTACAATATTGGAAATGGAACCAGAAAACATATCCACATCTGCATCAACTTTCTGCTCACCATCGTCATCTGAACCATGTGAAAGAGTATATTTCCTGAGGCTGGGGAGCTGGTGTCTAAGAGGAGAAATCACTTTGGAGCAAAGACACTCCAAAAACTTTTGTTCCTCAATAAAAATTCATAAACTAATCACTTTTTTCTCTTTTATTTCACATGATTTACCCAAAATTTTCTACATAAGTTAAAAATTGTAACTCTGAATTGTAACTCAAATTTGCTATATTTTACATACCAACTCAGTTTACCATTTACACCAACAAGGAATTTCTTTACCTGCAATGATTTTATAACTACTGCAGGGGTCACTATTGGGTGACCAACACAGTGTCAATACAGTGCTGACACAGTTTGTGAAGTGTGTCAATACACTCCTTGAGGTATCATCGTCCCATCACTAGTACCGAGAGATCAAGAGCAAACACGATGAGAGGTCGAGAGAGAAAAGGTCAAATGAGCAAGGGCAGCAGCAGGGCAAACAATTCTCCCACAACCAGCAGACAGTTTGTGGGTCCTTAAATACAGAGTTCCCTAATTGCAAGATTGGCAGCAAGTGTGCAATCAGCAAGTCCGCTCAGTCTGCCACCTGCTGGCAAGGCCAAGAAGAGGAACATGACAGTCTCTGTGTGCCCTGAGATTCAGGGTGTCCCCCGCCTACTGCCCGAAGATAGCTGGGATAGGCTCCAGCACCCCCCGCGACCCTTGTGAGGATAAAGCAGATCGGAAAATGGATGGATGGATGGCTATGCAGCTTGCAGGAAAATGGCTAATTTACAGTATTAAAATGAGAAGTTGAGGGTGTGGTAAAGTTAATCCTACCATATATATG